TAAATAACTGAAACGTATAATAACCTTGACGTTATTTCTCGTTGAAAAGAATTTCTCCTTTACTCTGGGTATCCCGGGAAGTTATTAAAATTAAACCTCAAGGTTGCGAGATCCCAATATACAACGCAAGATGTTCAGTCCACGATCCTCTATCCCACGTCGCTATCAAATTGATCGCGAATTTCTCTGCTGGGCAACGTTTAAAAGTATATTATAAGCAAACGTTGAGTGCCTCCGAAAGCAAGGAAAGCAAAGTCACGATGACTGATATCTTAAAGGCGGGTGTTTCCTCGTCGGCGCGACCTCGTCTCGTAAGCTCTCCTAATGATCGGTCTTCACGTAACTCTCGGGGCGCGAGTTCTATTACGAGCCAGTAGTCGCAAGGTTTAATCCCTTCCCGCGAGTTTTCGAACTCGTATAAGCCAGTCACGAACTTCCCGACTACGTTGCGTCGCTCGCGGACCGAAGTACTCGGCATGACTCACGAATCCTACCACGAAGCGAGACGAAAGTTTGCATGCAGCTTACGATGTTCCCGTACGCATCGCGAAAATAGACGAACGCCGCGGGCGTTTCCTCGATTTTAATCCACAAGTTGGTGTACAAGCGTACACGCTCATAGAGAGATTACCTTCATCTCGGCGGTTACGCCAAAAATGGTGTTTAATTAATCAACGTAACACCGTAAATGCTATAAATTTGTGTGTACATTCGTAAATTAATCAAATATACGTTTTTAAATGCGCACGGAAGGAGATCGCGATCGTGAATCATGACGTTGAAGGTGATTGCTTAGCGCTCGATCATTTATTATTCAAATTCAATATCATCAATCTCCAATAGTTGATTGCAACGCCGAGGAAACACGCTGTTATTAAAATCTCATTTTCGAGAATGGTTAAGATTGCGCGCAACTCGCACGTACGCGAGTTTCATGCGTGAGAGAAAAGGAGAGCGCCCCTTAATGTTCAGATAATGCGCGACCTTTAACGCTTCGCTGCTGACTGGGAGCCTGTAAAAGTGCGATTTAACGCGGCAAATCGTTCCGAGGCCTCGCAAGAGGCGTGAGCGATCTAATCACCAGAGTTGCGACGGTAATTTTCCTGCGCCAACGAGCAGAATAATTCGCGCTCCGAAACTCCTGGACGCACCGCGGAGCCTGTGCGGACCGAGGCGAGGCGACGCGACGCGACGCGACGGTTGGGAAATGGTGGAAAATTAGAAACGGTAATCAGGGAGCCGCGCCACCGAACTACCCGAGGCTCGGCGGCCGCCTTAAAAGGACTATCCGCCTCTCGCTTTGACAACCCCGAACTTTTCATCGCTTAACGTGCAATTCTCTTTCGGAGTTTCGGCGGCCGATTCTCGCGCGAGTTTGCGGAGCCGCCTTTCCAGGGGAACGAGTTATTCCTACTTCCAGATTTCTTCGTGCCTCGGGGAAACTTCGGGGAAACTTTCCGAATTCGCTCCCTTCGATCTTACAATGCTCTTTAATGCGAGAGAGGGGCTTTTCGCGGCCCTTTCTCCACCCCCTCCCCTGCCGCCCCCGCCTGTCCCCGGAGGCATTCATAAATCATTTTCTTTCGTCGCGAAATCCATCTCCGCCCCGCGATTATCCTCCTTGCAACGGGAGCAAGGTGGAAACCAGCCAAGGAATTACTTTCTTTCGTGACCTTTGTCGGCTGGTGGAATGCCACGTCGATGAATCGCACTTCGCTTAGTTCCAAGACGAATGAGCATATCCGACACGAAATCAAATCGAGTCTGCTTAAGGAAAAGGGGGGGAACAAGATGTTCGAGGATTATCGAGCGTTCTTTACATTTCTACGCGCAAATGCGATTTCACTTTTTATCATTGGTCCTTTCTTGATGCGAGCCACGATCAACAGCCATTATATTTACTGCCCCGTCATTTTCGCCACGGCAAACAAATAAATGACCGCGAGAATTTCCGCGATAAAATCAGCACATGTACTAAGGACTTCATTACGAAAGTGTACCGTATTTTTTTAAGTACAATATTACGCATAATAATCCATATATTACTGTACTATACGGTTAATTATCCAGATATGCCAAGATGTTGAATTGTAAAATGAAAGAAACGAGTTGGATGCCATAATCACTGTGATGATTAGTGTTACAGCGAAGTCTCGCAAGATTTGATTTGATGGACGTCTGTGTGTATTTAGGTAAGAGTATCCTCCTTGAAATATACCGCGCGGAGAGTGAATCGATACAAATATGACATTCAAGTGGCGTCGGTTATTTTTGCATGAGATCGTAACGATGTATTTCAGAATATACGAGCACCCCACGTCGGAATCGGAAAAAGACGACGCCTGCGGCGCTTAATTATATCTCCGAGACAGTTAATAACGATTTCATGTCAACGCAGCACGCGATTCCGGGCAGAATATGCAATTACGATCGCCGTTATTCTCGTCGCGTCCCTGTCGTCGTACGTAGCAGAGGTAGCAGATCCAACCGTCGAGGCGATAAATCGCGAGATTTATGTCGACAAATTTGACAACATAAACCGCGGAATAGCACTCACTGATCCCGGAGAACAATGCCGAATCGGCGTCTGATTTGCATTTATGAAAAGGGCAAAATACTCGCTGTCTGTATTAATTAACTCTCCGTAGCGTGAGAGTGAGAGCGAGAGAGAGAGAGAGAGAGAGAGAGAGAGAGAGAGAGAGAGAGAGAGAGAGAGAGCCGTTATTTGTGGAGAATAATAAATTGCGGCGTCTCCGATATGGTGGTATGCGAAATATCGTCGGCAGGGGAGGATCGCGGGACTGCGGAGCTGGTTAAAAATTTCGTTGACTAAAATTTCAGCCAACGAAACGAGAATAGAAATTCCAAAACGAATCTAATTTCAATCGTGGCTGTGTGCCGCGGCTGTGTGTCGTGGCATTCTGTATCGCTACCGCGACCTGATATCCGATTCTATCACCGTCTAGTTCGACCATCGCCGTTATCTAGAATCGGAGGTGCACGTCTCTCCCGAGAAATTCATGGCGTGAGCACGCAAGCACGACAACTATGCCCTCGATTGCCGCCTGGACGGAAAATCGAGCGAAGGGAGAGACAGAAGAGACAAAGGGAGAGAGCGAGAGAGAGAGAGAGAGGGGGGGGAGAGAGAAAGCGAGGGAGGGAGAGAGGGAGAAATAGGAAGGTGGGGCATTCGCGTACACGACGAACGGAAGTCGGCCGCTAAGGTAGCAACGGACTCTATTCCGGGCTTCCCGATTCCTGAAAGCCCGAGGGTGCTGCAAGCTCGACTCTATTGATTTCCCGCGTTAAAGGGAAACGCTCGGTACGCGTAGGCATCGCGTTGTACATCGAAAATCCAGACCTGGCAACAGTCTCCACTGTACTCTCTATCGCGTTTTCATGTACTCGTTTGTACTTTGTATGAGTTATTCGCAAAAAGGAAGACCGCTTATACACTTTTAACCATGAAATTGATAAATTACCGATGAGCAAAGTTAAACACCAATGTACTAAAGCTTGTTCTCCCTTCAGCCTCCGCTGTACCCTTCGATTAAAAACGCGTCCAAAGAAACGTAACATGGATTCATAAGGACACGTTCGAGCTTTCGCGGGGTAAATTTCGATAGATAGAAATTCTCGGGTCTTAAAGTACGCTTCCGAACGTTTTGCTTTCTTTCACATTTGCAAGTCAATTATACGGTCAATTCTGGAGTGCACGGGAGACCACGATGTTCAGTAATATTTTACAATAGAAGTATCAGGGCAGTAATTGTTATCTCAGCGCCCGATATATAACATAGACGTAATGTCACTGGGTTTCGTTTAAGATATCTGCGCAATCGATAATCGATGTCCTATTTTCCGTACCGCCGCTTATCTATGAGCTCAGGTAACACAATAACCGCTGATAACGGCACCGAGACAACGATACCGGTACGCCGCGACGATACCGATAAATTATTAAATGCGTGACAATTTAACGAAAGCGTCCGATTAAATGTATCGCGTTGCCAACTCGCGGTCCAATTCGCGGCGAGCCTTTCATCCCTTTAACTGAACCTTGGTGTATACAAATCACCTGGCAGCCGACCGGAGTAAGCGATCAGAGGGTGTTTGTTTCGAGCATTCGCGCGTCAACAACGTTCATCGCGAGCGAATACGACGTGGTATGCGTTGCGAAAGCATACCACGGCGCGATTATACCGGCGGCGGTTTCCTTTCGGAACGGCACATCGACTCGATTCCAATTACGGCTCACCGTGTGACGGCCGCAAGCGCTATCGTCACGCGCGAGGAGAAGATGTTTGCCTCCGCGCGAGATTATCGCGCCTTAATTCGTGACTCTCGGTCGCGCGAATCATTTCGCCGATAAATGCCTCGCAAAACATCGTATACTAGTTACCGCGGCGTTGCAGAAATTTAGATTAGCGCCAGCTCAGCGGCGTCGCGATAAATACCGGACGTCGTAAAGTGCATGCGTTAGCGTAAACATCTCTCCGTTTACCCCGCTTCATCTTTTTTTTTCAAACGTTTAGACCAACGCGCTAATCTGGACTCTTCATTGCTAAAAAGCACGTTCCGGCGAACGAAATGGGAAAGAAAAATCTGAAAAGACTTGAGACCGGATCAAAATTAATTATCGCGTGTAACATTATTGCGCGCGCCATTTTTTTATTAAAAAAAAAGTATAAACTAAATTAGACTGAAAAACTTGTTCCGAAGTAAGTTGAGTTTTGCGAATTTATTAAGTGTTGCACACATCGTCAAGTGCGCGGAAGCAAGTGCGGCCATAAAACAGTTTTATGTAACGCGAAAAATAGGTTGCTCGCACGGGAAACACGGGTTAAGTCAATTTCATTATAATGTCTTAAATACATTATGTACATGAGGTATTATATGCGGCATATAAAGGCGTGTCGATACACCTACTGTTTACGATACTTGCTGATCGTAAACTATGCAGAGCGTTTAATAATAGAACGAAATTGGATTTCACTCACCACAACGAGCGCGTGCGTCAGAGCAGTCGATGACCTCGACCTCCTTGGTGTCATGCCGACGACCTCGCCCCTCATGATGCTCTCGACGACTGCATAAGAAGAAAAAAAGCGAAAACACTCTCAGTAACGTTTCACACTTATTCCACTCGTTCGACGACATTAAAGTCCTCTATTATGAGATAGATTTCTAATGTGAGACAGCAGGTTTTTCAACACCCAAATTCAATCGCAAATCTCTTTTCGCAACGATTACACAATTCAACGATGAATTTTCAACCAAACAGATTTCGCTCCAACGGTAATAAATTCATGGTGGAATCAACTGATGATGCCTTTAACAGAAACCCCGCTATCCCCTATTAGGATCCTACCTCATAGACATTCCTCTACTTACAAAGTTATATACATCGACACAATTTAGAAGAATGAAGAGATATCGTTATTCGCGACGACTTTATCAGACAATTAAACAGCAGCTTAGTGACGCCAGTCAAGAAATCAAGAATTTTAATAAGTGTGGAAACGACCTTACTGGCAATTCTTTGTTATAATAAAACACGCATTGTGTTTAAAACAACATTGTGTTTTATTATAATAAAGAATTGCCAGTAAGGTCGTTTCCACACTTATTAAAATTCTTTTTATCAGACAATATTGATTAGCGTCCGATATTATAAAAAAATATTTAATAAATTGTTCAATGTGTTTCTCCGAATTTTCTCAATAGTGTTAAACAGTATTTTTGAATAATAGTAATATTACATCGCGGCTTTCATACGAAGCTTTATTGGAAATTTTTTCATATCAATTTAATCGCCGTGTTATTAATTAAACGTATACGTTTTTATCTCGCGTTAATATCTCTCACCTCCGTCGCCAATCAGCCGCATTTGTACTAATGTGGGATCCTCGTTGTGGTCTTCGAGGACGGTGTCGTCGGTGACAGTCAAATCCTGTAGGGACAATTAAATAATAATCAGGTCAGTAAATAGAAATGGTATTAAAATTTTTAAATCATCCCGGGCAGGTCTATAAAGTGCGCTTAATATGAATTTTCCGTTAATGATAAGTTCAATCTCTGCAATTACAGACAAAAGCCTCAATCTATTATCTACATACTCTTCTCTCTCTCTCTCTCTCTCTCTCTCTCTGACATTTTTCGCCGTTAACGGATCATCATAAATACCTACTAATGACAATGATACGGATCAAGACGCTCAATTATTTCCCAGGTTCATCGATCTCGAGTCTTATGGACGCTTTCATTCGCGGTTTCGAAAAATTTATTGCATAATGGATGTTAATCGATTTCGAGTCTTCCGAGAAATTTCGTGACTCGCCGCGGAGCGTTTATCTGTAAATTCACGGGTCAGAGATCGGTCGATCGATGGTCTGGCATCTCGTTAAGACCGTCACGATCAACGCCTCTCTCTCTGTCAATATGCTTAACTGATCAGCGGCGAGACAGAATCGTTCGCTGGTTGCGAGACGATTACAACGCAGTGTGTGTAGATTTCTGTCGATACAATTTCCGGCGAATTCAGTTTTCATCGTCTCGACGATTGACAATATCGACAACTATCGTTAAAAATAGGAATTTTCATAAGTGCGCGCAAAATTCAGACTCTGCCATGTGAAAGATCCAACCGAGACCTCAACATTGACAAGATGGGGACTATATGATTGATACGACAATTAAAAGAGATGTGTCTGCAAAAAGTCTCAGTTGGAAAAATTCTTAGTTTTCATTTACTTAAAAACATCAAAGAACACCGACAAGGTGAAAACATGTACTCGATATATAAAAATGAAATGGAGCTCGCGATTCCACATCCATATTAATTCACTTCGCATAATGGAAAACAATGTACATATATCTCTCGTACGTGATGCTATTCGTCATCGCCTCGCAGTATTTCATTAAAGTCCTTGAGACACAACGTTAGAACGAGGGATATTCGAATAAACTTCAACGGGCAATCGATTCGATTCCGCCGATACTTTCGAGAAATATTCGAGACAGACGTAGATACGAAAGGAATAAGGAGACAGAAAAGAAAAAGCGCGCGAGCGACAAAAGCTCCCTCAGACAACCCAACCGATATTTTATGTTTCCTCGCCCTTCGATCTCCGCGCCTTTTCCGGAACGTTTTCTCGTCGCGGACTATTTCAGGGATTTAGTTTTCCAATAGGAATGCCGCGCCAGTGCCAGGATAAATTATCGGAAGCTTTCTCGCCGAGAGACAAGACGAGGAGGATTACTTTCGCGAAGACGCGAGTCTGTCGTTCGTTTCTCTACCGTGGGATGTTTAACGACAAAAACGCTCGGAATATCAGCCGGGGAAAGAAAATTTGCTCGTTTAAGTCACTCTAGGACAGGTTACATTTTCTACAGTGTTGTTACAAGTCAGCGCAAATGTACAGTTTGGTCATATACTTTAATAAATATAATGGAAAAAAATCGAAAGAAACCGTATGCCAAAATTATCTCCCTCTTTAAAAGATACTTAATAAAATGAATATTAGAAAATAAAATGAAAACAGAATATAACTATGTAATAGAAGTTAATAAAATACAAATAATCTATTGAATTTTTGTTTAATTAAAAATGTCCTAATTTCAATTATTATATACATAAATATATATATTATATTTGAATCTCCTCTGATCTTCTATCTTGCAGAAATGTAGAAATTCACTGAAATAGACTTAATAAATGTTCAGGATGACATGAGTCTAATAATGACACATCGCTTAATAATTAACAAGTGTGTCGCCTGACTGTGGTATTACTGTCACTAAAATTAAAACTGTCTTTTTTTCCAATCTTGGCTTATTATTAATTTAAAAATAATGAATTCATTCAAATTAATAATGAGACCGCCTGTGATCCAATTATAGAACAATGTCAAATAGACTTTAGGTTTCTTTCGAGTCACCGAATTTACGTTGTTAAAATAGAAGTATCACATTGGCTAAACGACGATCTATAATTTGCACCATTTGTTAAAGCGACGTTTTTAATATTAAATCACTCTCCTTCAAAAATATGAATTCACATATAACTTGTACAAGATATATTCAATCATGATAAACGTCGGTGCATTTAAAATCAAATTGTAGATCAAGCGATCGGAGAGTAAGAGATCCCGAAAAATTGCAGCGGAATCGTTCCAGTCTACAGATAATACTGTAATATTTATTATCTGGTCGGACTTACCTTGGTGGACTCGTTGTAACCGACGATCACGGCTGTGTACCATTGTGTGGTGCCTTCCGCCCGATAAACTTCGACTCTGAAGCCGACCAGAACGCTGGGCGTAGTCAGCAGGATCCTCTGACCGTCTTGCATCTCGGCCCATCTCCTAACGGCGTTTCCCCAGGGCATCGCGCCCTTAGTCAGCTCCCAGTCTTGCTGCAAAGACAAGCAAAAAAGACTGAGGTTAAAGCTTCGCCCGTGGAACTTGATTAAGAAGAGCGGACTATTCTTCTCCGCTCGAGAAGCTGTCCGCGATTTTGGAAGGAAAAATAACGAAGGAGGAAGAACCCGCGCAATTTGATAAGAGATAACAAAGAGAATAAAAACTTCACGGAGAGCTGAGCGCACAAGATTTTACTCCGCCGTCTAAAAAACAGACTCCGATTTAACAAAGTTGGTACTTCATTTTTTCAAATCGAAAGTTTCATCAACAGTTCTGTTTCCACTCGCAATAGTTCTACAGTTTTTCATAGATTAAAAAAATAGTTTCGTTGATTTGAATTAAAAAAATGTTATTTGGAAATATGGAGTGTTAATTTCCAACAGCACCTCAAGTTACGCAAAAAAAAATCATTTCAATTACAGAATTTTGTAGTTCTGGGTAAGTTCTGTACTTCCTGATGAAATTTAACAACCGTTCCGCCCGTTAGCTATTGTCAAATTATTTTCCAGTCTAGCCGTTAGCTCCTCATTTTTCAAAAGTATACATATACTACAACATATAATGCGAGTATAAAAACTAATGCGCATTCTATCTTGTCCTTTGACTGTGTTTTTCACATATTAATACGATCATAACGCGACGAGAATAAAAAGCAGAGCGGTCGCGAAAACAATTATGCTGAAACTCGAAATATTTGATTAAGAGGAATACGAAAGCATCACATTATCATACATACGCGACCAATAACTGATATATCAGAATATTTTATTCACACTCATAAAAATCTGTCGTCTGCCGAGAAATTAGATCCAATGAAACGGGAATTAGCGTCAGGAATATTTAATATCCTTTTGTTATCGAATCTATAATTGGATGTCTCAGTAATTTCTAACGTATTAGAGCGCCAATCAAAATGTGGCATTGAAAAACGTTAATCACATTCCCGTCTGGCTTCTCGGGTTATAAATAGCCGAAGATTTGTAACTAATTAATATATAATTTGTTTTGTCGTCTATACTGCATATTAACAAACTGAACCTTGCATAACGTGCAAATAGATGGCTGTAACTTTAGTGACATCGCTGCCAGGTCGACCATGTTGACAAAAAAGTTTCAACTGTATGATTAAAACTAATGTTCCGATTTATATGTAACTCTCAAAATTAAAATCTTTTATCAATTTTGCACAGTTGATTTAAAAACGATGCACTTTTCAAACAAGGGGACAATTGCCAAAAAGAAGATTCGACGGGGTTTGAAAGATGTTTAGGCTTATACGCCCTGCTTTCAAACCTAGCCGAGTTTTCCTCTTGGCAATTTTGTTCCTGCTTTTTGGCGCGATACTTCTTTGAAAAGTTCCACGAAAATGGTTTTTCGCAAAGTTACATAAGTTTCTATTTTATCGTGTTTGCCACCGATTCTAAGTTAAATTGTCCCTTGTTGACGAACGCATTTACAAATAATGCAATTCGTAATAATGGACGCTCTCTTAAGAGTATTATGTAGATTCAAAGGGAGAGGGGACAATGTCAAGTTTCGTCTTGTTTCGCGATCACTTCTTTTTCCCCCCCGATGACAAATACGCGCTCGAGCGAGTACACCGCTCGCGCTCGCATTTACATTACGTCACCGCTACGCTGTTACGTCAGACACGCGTTATGCAATCGTTGCGCACAGCGTGACGGCGCGAAGCGCGTTAATGGTAGTAATACAACGGCAATTAGAACGTTATTACCGAAGCGTCGAGAGCACTTAATGTCCGCGCAGTGCTCGTCGTGAGCGCGATTCACGAGGCACTTTGCATGGAGTTCCAGTGCGGAGCCAATCGCGTTCCCTTTCTTCGATGGATTTATTCTTCTCGTTGATTGCAAGTCAATTATCAATTTTACTCACTAAAGAAACACGGGGTTATTGTAATTTACAAATAGTAATTCATTTATTGACAGAAGTTCGTCGTATTTTCGACGACGGGAAATCGTCTCATCGGGCAGGCTGTAGATGAAAAAAAAAACGCGGATGACCGCGACCTCGCGAGAGGAGACATTACGATTCGACCAGATTTAAAAGCAGAAGCTTAACTTTGTTCCCGACCGTTATTATCTTATGTCCTCTACGATCTGCATATCTTTCCCCAACCTTTCCCCGAGTTATTCCTGAAGTCTTCGTTACGCGAGTGAATCGAACGAAATAAATGCTTGAGAGATGGAAAGGCAACCTCGCGCAATCGAAGAGAACTGCATAATTACGCGAGTAATAATTACTTTTGTCGGGCTGGAAATATGACGTACAATTCGAACTCGGTGTACTCCGCAAACGGTATTCCCATCGTTAATATATAAAATGCAGCGTAAACTTCGCAGTCTAGTAAATATGATAATTAAAGTTACGTCAATTTTATGTGCTCTTCAACGTCTTCGCATTCGGACGAAAAGGGAAGTTTTTTGCGGGGAAATAACAAACAGCGCCGATTAAAAATATATCACTTTTACGACGCTCGTCTCAAAGCGCTTGCAAACGCAACTATCAACCGTTCTCGGCGCCATTTGTAATCATTGTAAAATCATCCTCCGCGCACCCGGGAGAAGTCCCGTTTACCGTGCAATCGATCGAGGAGGATTTCGCGCAACATATGGCACCTGTGCGGAGACGATCGTCGCGAAACGTTATACATTTTTCGTTCGTCGAGCCGTTATTACCGTCGTTAAATGTCGATACGAGAAATAGCGTCCCGTCTGGACACATCGCGCGCCAATTATAACGTGGAAATGAACGACCGGGATTGGTCTCGGGGTCAACGAGATTATCCGTCGGCCGTTGAATTATTCGTACGCACGATAATTCGATTCGGGGATGCCGTCCGGTACGGGGACTGAGAGACACCGATGCGTTCCTTATTTATGGATTACGACCCCACGTTATGGACCGCTTGCTCCGGGAGCGACCGTTTCCAGAGGTTCTCTCTCGTTCAAAGAGCGCGGACCAAATCCCATCTCCGATCGTATTCTCGCAGTTTTAATCCCCCTCACGACCGCGATACAATTTTTAAGGGAGTCCTCGTCCGCGATCCCCTACATATTTTTCTTCCCTACGAAGTTCCCGAGCTGAATTAGCATATCAACGAAACGGGCATTGTCCTCCTCGCGGTAAATCGCGAAGCTTATGCGATATATCTATTCTCATTTTACGTCAAATCCAGAAATATCTATTTTGCTCAAGTCGGGAGATTTTATAATTGCCTTCATTTCTTGAAAACTCAATTTTGCCTCGTTACTAAACTCAATTATGTTTTCACACAGACACACATACGCGCACAGGTCGCTGAAAAAGTGTATAAAATATTAGGGAAAATAATAGCGATTGAAACGCTCCTGTCTCCGCAATTACACGTTGACGAAAGTCAAAATTAATTAATGTTATGAAACGTTAACGTTTGAAACCATATATAACTTTTATCTCGAATATTTGTTTCTAAAATGCATAGTTTTCGAAAAATGTGTTTCCATACTTTTTTCCCATACTGTATACTGTGTAATTTAATTCCCAGGTAAAAAATAAGGTATAAACAGATTAATTATACGTATAGCATTGCATACAGTATCGTTTTCTATTTGCATCTCGGGGGGTTGTTTTCGAGTAAAACTACTGGATATTTTTCATAATGCGTTCTCTGAAATCGTACAGACCTCAGTATTGATCACGATTGTTCGTGCGCTTCTTTTCGAGGGAATCCCCCAATTATCAAGCGAATATCTCTCGGCATGAAAATTATCGGTCGGAAAATCACGGCCCATGCCGGTGTCGACTGTTATCGTTCTATCACGCGCCGTGGGTACTCGTTAGCAGTTGCCACGCGGCAGCTAATTAATTAAGGAGTTCCTTAATTAAGAACGCGTCCGCCATTAATCGCGATGCGTTCACCGTACAATCACGGGACCAAAGCGCCGGCAGATGAAGTGACTATAGGCAGGAGAGTGTCGTAAAGTTTAAATTGAAGGCACAGACAGATGCGCGTGTGCCATTTGTGCCAAATAAAATTACCCGCGTGCAATTACTTATACACCGGTGTTCGTGTCTTCTCGAAAATTGACTCAATAATGAACACGTCAACTCCGATATTTCTCGATATAGCCGCCCCGTCATTCGTCTTACCGCCAGGATACTTAATCGTTCCGTATTTAAACTTTGCCAGTGGTCGATGCACACACAGCAGATAGGTTACAACATCATTTATAAACGGAGCTGTTTCGTAACTAGGTATTATTACCTGGATATAAGCTCAGTTTATAGGAAGTTAAGCTACGAGGCATCAAACCTTCGGCATGATGCAAAATGCCACAATATTTCAATAACGCATTATCGGGTTTAAATTCGGATAGCTCGATATCTCGCAAGTTCTAAACGAAGCTGAAAATTTATTGCGAAGCTCGTAAGTTTAATTACAAAACGATTATCGTCGAAAGTTCGATTAAGAAATGGCCAAGATGCGAGTGTGACGAGTAGGATTAATCCCCGTGGTAAAAGGAATAACATGTTTCCTTTCGTGGTGAGCGAGGCATCTTTCAGGCGGGGTTCCGGAGTTCTTACTTCACGTGAGAAATCGCGTCAAGGGAGGTGGCGAGGGTATAATGCAGTCGCCGTCGCACTTGACCAAGGACCGTTAGAACGGGAATACGTTGGCGCCTCGTCCTGGCCGTTCTCCAACGTTCTCCGATGATCGTGCACGCGCGTTACCGATGCGAGTCGCCAAGCTAACAGGCGACAGCGGCAAACCGAAACGACCGCGTGAGCGCGGGACCGATTCTCAACAAGTTGGACGAATGCGGCTCCGAAATCCGCTGACGAAGATTTCCTATTTCTTCCCCTCGGGTCGTGTTATACATGTTACACCTATTGCCGGATTTATCTCACCTTCTACGAAGGAATTAGAATCTTTTCTTGGTCTACTCTAAATCCGCCGCTCTTAAATCAATGACGAAACATTTATTTTTCTCTG